GCACACCGTGCTCTCCAGGCTCTTCTACTGTATTTGGAGGTTGGTTGCAGGACACAATTCCAGTTAACATGAGTGTGCATCATCATCATGCCATGGCTGGGCTACAGACTTGGCAAAAAAGTTACAGAAACTTCTGTGGAATTGAACATAGGCAGCACTGTGTAGCAGAAAGATGCCTTGTTTTGTGTGGTCTTCAAGGGCCATCTTTAGCCTGTCTGGCCTCCTTTCAAAGTATAGTGCACTAGCTTCTTTCCTGAAAAGTCCATTGTATATCTGCTGTGTCAGGCATTCATTACATGCTTTTCCTTTTTTTTTTTTCTTTTAAGATGTTCCGTAATTCTAATTCAAGTAATTTATTTTTAGTGGTGCAATAAAAGATTGCTCAAGGAAGTAGTGGTCTGGCAAGGAAAAAAGCCTCATTCCTGAGGAATGACCCAACTGGTTTCCTGCAAAGGACATTCCCTTTAGTGCTGGTGCCAAACCAGGGCAGAACTTGCTCACCTTCCACTGAGGATGTCCTTTTACTTCTTTTGAAACATTCGTATTTTGAAAAGTCACAGCCTCTCTTCAGATGAAGGGCAGGTTGGGAAATCTGACAGAAGTGGATCTAATTTGTGAATCAGAGAGAGCTGAAAGGGTGATATGTTTTAAAGGCTTTCTGAGTCAATATAGTGCTGCTGCTATATATTAATATTAGTATTTTATATTTTTATAATATTTGTTCTCTACTGATGCTCTCCCATGGGTATAGCGGTAAGATTAGCTCCTTTGATGTTGTCCAGGGGGATCCCTTCTGGGAACCCTCAGGTCTGCAAAGGAGGAGACTTCTGCACGTGCTGAGCACTGGAGGGAGTTAACATTATTGCTGCCATCAGTTTGACCACACAGATGTATTTACAGAGAGCATCCTGGTGCCCTTAATGCAAATCCCCAAAGGCTGGGTACTGGTCAGGAGAAAGGACTTTTTACTCTAAACTGCCTGATGTCTCCCCTAGTTTCCTCTGTGGACTATTACAGATTGGCCAGATCTGGGGACATGTCTCCTGCCCTGTGTAGACCCCTCGGTGGAGTGGCTTTTCTGTACTGGCTCGCAAAGGATACTTCTTCCTGCACCTATCATGTTTACTGGCTGTTGAAGTAAGTGTCTTTGTCAAAGCAAACTACTGTGCTCAACCCTCGTATCTCCATGTCTTGTACATGCTGAAAAAATTCTCTCTTTAAAAGTATTTTTATTAAGAATGCAATAAATATGTAACACTTTTAACACAGCTGCTGTTGAGTCGTTTGTTTCTCTCTACAATTTTTGCCTGAGCTGGTAACTAGCTTGTCACAGGTGTGGCTCTCCTGGAGACACTTGGCATCAGAGCACAGAGGCAGGGTTTACAGGTATGGCATCCCATGGCATCAGCCTGGGCTGGTGGCTGCTGTCTTGCATGGGATCTCCTGCCCTGGCTCTGTGCCCAGAGTCGGTTTGGGAAAGGCCAGTGGCTATGGAGTGGCAGCAGGAAGCGATGAGGCAAGTTCAGGGCTATAGTGGAGAGGAAAAGGGAAGAAGCCTGAACCTTCCTCCAGCTGCAGAGCTCTCCTCCATCCTCACCATCTCTTTGGATCCTCACCGGAGGCTCTGTTCCCTCCTGGGAAGGAATGATCCCAGCTGCAGAAAAATAATGACATTTTTTCTGGGCATGCTCACTTCCCATCCCAAAACTTGGGAATTTGGTGTCCTGAGTGGGCTGGGCCTTAGTAAAAATGAAACAATGATTTTTATTTGCTGCTGTCTAGAGAGCCTGTGGGAAAGGTGGTCCTGCAGGGCAAGGAGCTGTGCCTCTGACAGCTGTGGGGGTGATGCCAGCCCCAATAGCTGCAGATGGGTCAGAAGTGGTCTCAATTGGTGCTATGTTTGGTCCTGAGTAGCCTGGTCAGGAACTGTGGTATTCTGGAGGCTGGCCTGTCCCAAGGACTAGCCAGGACATGAAATAATGGATTTGTGACTGGTGGCAATGCCTCTCTGCAGGTCCACGTGCAGCTGAGGATGTCTGGGTCTGCTGAAGGAGCAGTATGACTGCTCCTCCTCTCAGGATCACAGGATCCTCCCTTGGGAAACCTTCTCTGCAAGGAGGGCCTTGTCCATCAGTATGCAGTGCTTGGGTCAGCCTAACCATGCCTGTCCTGGGTGTCCAAACCAAGGTAGCCTCCTTGCTTCAATCCAAATGGAATATTTGGCATTGGGAAGGGGACTGGACACTATGCAGCCTTTGCAGGAAGGGCTGGGTTTTTCAGGATGTGAGCACTTTGGCCTTGGGATGTATGTCAGTGAAGGCTGATCATGCAGTCTCTCTTCAGCAGGTGGTTTGTGCCCCTGGGTCACCAAGCTGGCTGCACTTTTGTGGAATGATTTTCTCCATCCTTGGAAAGTATCTGCCTCTAATTTGTGGTGTGCGGTGGCACTAAGTGTCTCAGACCAACAGTTGGAATGTAGGGTTTATGCAGTCCTTTGTAACCTGTGTCTTTTGTGCCTCTGGAGAAACTGGAGCCTGGGGCTGGGCAGCACTGATTCAAAACTGTGTCTTCTGTGTGGATGATCTCATCCCATTTACCTTACCTCAGGGAAGAATCACAGATGGAAAGCTTCCTCACTAGGAATGTAAACCACTTGCTAGCTGGGTGCAGCTGAGAAGAAACATGTTTGTGACTGGATTATCCCAGAACTCTGTTGGGGGCTTCTGATGAGAGTGACTGTGCTAGTGGCTGCAGGAGGCTGGATGAGCAGCCAGGCAGCATTTGCTGCAGTGTTGCAGCAGTGCTGCAGCTCATGCCCTGCTGCCTGCACTCTCCTCCCAGCCCGTTGCTGCTCCAGCAGGTGGCCAGAGCCACAGGATGCAGGCAACAGAACTGAAGGATACTCGGGCAGAAACATGGAGGGCTGTAGAAGCAGAAGGAGAACAGTGAACAGAAAAAGCTCATGCTTAACAAAATACTTAATAATAAAAGTGAGCCCTGGTGGGAATAGTTAACTTCCCATTCAAAGTATTTTCTACATCTCACTGTCAAATACAGTTTACTGAAAATGCACTAGACCATCCTGCCATTTCTGCATGAATTCCTTGGTGCCACTGGCTGTGGATGTAAAGGTCATGTATGTTATATTAAGGATCTCTGAGTGACTTTAGGTTAGTAAATCTTCACAGGGGCAGCCTGATCTGTTGTGGATGGTGGGATGCAAAGCAGTGGTGCTTAGCTGGTGCTAGGAAGCATCCTGACATTTTGCTTGGACTGGAGAGAGCATCCTCTAGGATCTCCTGTGCTGCAAGGCATCAGCACATTGGTCTGTCTCAAGGGTTGTGGTTCTCATGACTGGCACGCATACACCTTTTGAGTAGTGATAGCTAACTCACAAAAGCAATAGCCTGACAGCTGTGTGCTGTTGCAGGACCTCCTTCCCACCCCACTGGTCCAGGTCTCTCTTCCTTCTCAAATACACAAACTAGTACTTCAAAAGTTCCTTTGTTCTGTGATCAGAAGTTAATAAAGGTTAAGAAAAGCCAGTGTTGGCAGTACCAGTCTGCTGTTTAAATAATTACTGAAGATGGCAGAGAATCCTAGGTAGCAGACATTAGGAAAAATACAACTGCTTGCAGGCACATGCACAGTTGCTTAACATTAAAACCAGAGCCTCAGGCAGTCTGAGACACTCCCACTGCAGACTTGTTTTCTGTGTTTTGTGGGAAGTTTCACCAAGTTTGTGACCTTATATGTGTGGGTTAGTGGGATCACGTGCAGGTGGACTTGTGTCTTTATCTATGCATTCACAGGCTAGAGAAGGTAGAATATTCAGAACATTTGACAGATTTCTTAAGCCAAAGAAATACCTGTATATACATTAGGGAACTTAGGCAAGGACTAATTGCAGCAGATGTCAGAGGAGCCATATGCTCCCCTGCAGCCTCCTTGCCTTTGCTGAGGTTGCTGCAGCAGGGTGTGCTGAGCAAAAGAGGCAAATGGCATAAGAGAAAAATAAGTTTTAGCTATGAGCTGTTCATGTCTGATTTGGGGTCTACACATGCTGTGATGGGGCCTCTTTCCTGGGTAGCTGTTGTGAGCTCATGCTGGTGGCAACTGGAACCAGTATTACCAAGCCTTTTTCATGTCCTCTAGCAGGAATATGAGGAGTGTGAGAGCAAGTAATATGACCTTAGTGATAGATTGTTGTCTTAGCAAATTGCACAGAGGGGCAGTTGCTTGGAGTAGGAATAAATACATTTTTGCTGAGCTGAGATGAAGCTGTTTTAAATCAGGAAAATAAATCCCATGCCCTGAAAGTGATCTTTTTGTCAGCACTGCCAGGAGATCCCCACAATGTGGTGTTGGGATTTCCACTGGCAGAGCTGAATTGGTTTTTTATGTCGCACCCTGCTGAACTCTGAAGTGCAAAACCTTCCAATACTGGTATGTCCTTGGACAACCAGCACATACTCCCATGCCCATTAGGTATCCATGTTTCTGTCCTTAGAATCTTAATTCTGCTTGCCTGAAAGGACAGAAGCAAGCAAATCTGTTACCAACTAAAAAAGGAAGGCAGTGTTTTTGGGAAGCAGGCAGGCAGAGGAACCCTTCTGTATTCCAGGTATTCCTGAGAACAAGGGAGGGAGCCCTGGGACGTGAAGTGATGGTAGGAGTCCAGAAGTCCTTGTTTCCATCACTAGGCAAAGATATTTCTGACTGGTAGAGTCTGTCACCCTTGCTGGCAGACATCCCTTCAGACTGGATGTGCATTTGTGTCATCCCTTCCCCAGCAAAAAACAGCCCCACTGGCTTAGTGTTCCCTGGGTGTCCATGCTCGTTTGCACACCATTGCTTATAACTCCATGCTTTCCAGCCTGGCTGTGTTGATGTCTCTCTCCAAAGGTCATTCTGGCTTCTTCCTGGTTGTCATTCTGATGCAAGGGGGGGCACAGGAGAGAAGTTTGTGCTTCACACCTGCCTTGTCCCCTTGCCCTCAGATACGTCATCATCTCCCGGGAGGAGAGGGAGCAGAACCTGATGGCCTTTCAGCACAGCGAGAGGATTTACTTCCGTGCCTGCCGTGACATCCACCCTGGGGAGAAGCTGCGGGTCTGGTACAGTGAGGATTACATGAAGCGGTTGCACAGTATGTCCCAGGAAACCATGAACAGAAATTGCACAAGTGGTGAGTCCTTTCCCTTTCCATCCTCTCTCCTGATCCCCTCAGGCTGCCCCACAGCTGGGCCAAGTGTGGTGGGTGAAGTAGGTTTTGCAGAGGCTGTGTGAGGAGAGCTGCATTTCTAGAAGCAGAGCACCTCCGGGTGAGAGCCCCCAGCTCTGCCTGGCACAGATGGATGGGTGTACAAGAAGAGTAAGATACCCACAGTCATGGAGATCATGAAAGAAAGATTTGTGCTGTGATGTGTCACGTCATGTGTTGTGTTGTGCCATGCTGTGTGTGTGTGTGCTGGAAGGGCCTGATGCAATGCCCAGGGATCACAGAGCACCCGTCACAAGACTTTTTGGCCCGAAGATTGCCAAGCTGATAATCCTACAAGACAGAGTTAGGTTTTTCCTCTGAACATGCTGCTCTCTCTGGCTCCTGTGAGCAGCTTGTTTGAGGGAGCTCTGGCTGGTTTTGTGTCCATTTGAATGAGATTTCCTTGGTGTGTTTGTATGTCCATTTTCCTCGTTTAATTTATCTCCTCTTTCTTCAGAAAGATAATTTGGGATCAGCGCGACATCAGCTCCTTAGTCTCACAACCTTAGAATGTGTGTACAACGTACAGGAGGCTTTGTACTTGTCAGACTGATTCTTCCTTGGATAAAAATTGTTATCTTGTCTAAAGAGTAGCAATGTTGAAACAAACCCAGCAGTCCTTTGGGCCCACGTATTGTCAGCAATATAGGAAGCTTTAGAGGAAAGCAAAAATTCTTAATGCATCTGTTCATCTGTACAATGCTGATACCTGAAGTTAATTAGGAACATTTCTTTCCAGGCTAGATGCAGAATGGCAGGGCCTCAGAGGGGCAGCCACACTAAATATAATTTGTAATTATGATTCCTGAGTATATTATTACACAGCTGCTGTTGCTGCCTTGACTTGGTAAAAGGTGTCTCCTCTTCAGTCATGGGGTGGACAAGTTGTCCTGAAAAAGCTGATTATCTCTATCACCTTAGGGTTGTTATGCACTTGCAGTGTTACATCGTGGTGGCTGTACTTGGGCAATTCCCATTTCTGAATTAACATTGGTATGAATTTGCTTTTTATGAAATGAACACCAGTGAGTGATTAGGTACAGGCTGCAGTGATTTTGCTGCAGTAACATGCACATATTAGTTATCCAGATGGCTTAGTGCTTTGCAAGAGACAGTCTGTGCTTTAGCAAGAGACAGTCTGTGCCCTTGGAGCAGCTGCTCTACAGGGGCACCAAGGCTACGAGCTATTGCCCTGCCGTGCAGACATGCCTTTAGTCCTGGATTGTCATGGTGTCATGGTTTGTGGGAGCTGAAATGGTAGCTCACAGCCTGCTCTGTGCTACAAGTGTGGTGAAGATCTGAATCAGGACTCTCCAGAATCTGCCACAGCCTCATGCACCTTCAGGTAGAAACTCATGTGGCTACGGAGACCGTTCCAGAAACCCCCTGACATCTTGGTGAGCTCATCCTGCTGCAAGCTGGGCTCAGCCTGCATTCACAGAAGGGGCACAGAGATGTTAAAACGGAGCATCACCTGAGCCATTGCTAGACTTGCAAGAGACATCGAAGCCTCCATTGGGAGGGCACTGGGAAGTGGTCAGAAAGCAGCACAAAAATCTGCTGAGTCACTTTCTATTTAAAAGATTTCAAATCCCTGCAGATGAGTCTGTCAAAGGAAGTGGCACACTTTACGAACTCACAGAAAAATAACATGGTTCCTGGGTTTTGCTTCTGGTGATGGTTTCTGAGCCACCTCATCATTGGAGTTGAGACCAGTAATGTGAGGGATCATCTTGTGATTTCTAACTTTTCCATAGGGCTGAAGCAGTTGGCTGGTTGGGGAAAAAATCACCAAGAAAGAAGAACCAGTTCTCTAAATCACTAGCTCTCATAGTAGTTGCTATGGTCCATAACAGGGGAAATACTAAGAGAGAGAGTGAAAGTTTGTCCATAGGAATTCTCATCAATGTGTTGAAAATGAGATCTGTTGTTATGGATTCCCTAAAGAAGTGTCTGGGTTTCCCAGCCAGCATCCAAACCCAGTGCAAAATCCCATCCATTCAGGCCAGCCCTTTTTACAGTGCCTTACTCTAACTGTTTCGAGTCTTGCATCTTTTCTGCATTCTTAGCATTGCTCTCCTTAGAGAGGGAATGGTAGCTTTTGCTCCATAACTCTTATGAAAGCATGAATACACTTTAAGCAAACAAAACCAAAAATCAGCATAAAGCAGCGTCTTGTTTGGGAAGCCATCAATGCTTGAAGTTATTTACAAGATAGAAGAGTGATGGAAATTGAGCCAAACCTATCGTCTTTTGAATTTCCAGGTAAGGAAATCTGGCTATTCCCTTTATTTTAAGCAATTAATAATTTATATGAGGTTACTTTTAATATTTTTTTTTCAATTACTGAATGGTCATGCTCTCAGACTCCACCAGGACAAGCTAGATGTCCCATCCTTGGAGGGCATTCACCCATTGTAGCTCAGCTGACAATGTGTACCTTAGGTTTTAAGTGTGCAAGTTGTTTTTACTCCTTTACTTTGCATTTCTGGAGCAGCCTCCAAACTGAACAAGAGTAAAGGGGCTTGCAAACTTTGTGCCATGGCGTGCACAGACACTGGGGTTGTCATGAAATGGTGTAAATCTCTCACTGCACTGCTGTACGCTTGATACCTTTTACCAAGTCAAAACAGGCACAGGACTTCCAGCCAGCCAAAATAGCACTTAGGCTCTGGGTATAGTTTCCACCATGATCAGTTATTCACTTCATAGTCCTCTTCCAACGCAGGTTGGTTGTACCTTTAGGTTAAACAAGCTGCCTGTAGTTTCTCTTCTCTTTGAAGTGTGTGGGTTCTACTCTGCTGTGGTTACCCAGGACTGTCTCTGTTTTTGCAGACATGCCCATTAGCGGGGCTTCTCCTCTTGCAAGCCTTGGTTTCCACTGAGTTGTGTCAGTTCCCTGGCTTGTAACATAATATGCAGACCTGCAGGGATTCAGTCTGCCTTTTTGTTCATTTTTGTTTGAGTTTTAGATTGAGGGATGTTGCTCCGTTCCCAGTGATAATCCCCACCCCTCATTTTCCATTCTAGGAGACAAAATGTTACAGAATGAAAACTCAGAAAAGAATGTAGAAAACCAAGAGGATGCAAGGGGAGCACTCCAGTTCACTACCTTAAAGCAGGGGAAGAGCCCCTACAAGCGCAGCTGTGACGAGGGGGAATCCCACCCCCAAACAAAGAAAAAAAAAATTGACCTCATCTTCAAAGATGTCCTGGAAGCTTCTTTGGAGTCTGCCAAGTTTGAAGACAACCAGTTAACAACAAGTACACCACTTCCCCTCAGAAGAGCATCTAAATACCAGGCTGAAGACATCTTTGAGCAGTGTGGCAGTGCCATGCAGCACGGCTCCCTGAGCCTCAGCAGAAACCAGAGGGAGAGCGAATGGAGGGTCCCTCACAGTTCCTCTTTCATCTCAGCCAAGGAGATGAGCATCCTTGAAGACGAGGAAGAAGAGCCCCTGTCACTTAAAGCAGACAGCCCAACTGAGCTGTCACTGGCCTCTGCACAAGGCAACTCCCATGAAATCCCCACCACATCCTTCTGCCCCAACTGCATCCGTCTGAAGAAGAAAATCCGGGAGCTGCAGGCTGAGTTAGACATGCTGAGATCTGGGAAGTTACCTGAGGCACCCGTGTTACCGCCCCAGGTACCCGAGCTCCAAGAGTTCTCAGACCCCACAGGTAAGCCTTGCCGAGTTAGAGCATTCTCCAAACCCTGCCTAAGGAGAGTAGTGAGATGCCTGTATGCTGTGTACCCATCTAAAGCATTTTGCTCTGAGTATTCAGGTGAACCTGTGGTTCCATGGAAGGTTCTTTGTCAGGTTTTGTGACTGGGTGGGCCAGGAGCTGATGCTGTGGGTACAGTGGAAAACTGTTTGGGAAAGACTCTGTATGACAATTTGCTCTATTTGTTGCCATTGTAATTGATAATGCACTGCCAATAAAAAAGACATTCCATTGCAGACAGTTTGTTTGCTGTATTTTTGATGCATTCTCTTTCAGCGGAAGACCTTCCACAATGCCTCACATGCTACCAAGAAAGTATGAATGACTCTGTGGTATTGCTGAAATGTGCTCTCTTTGTGTATGAAATTATGTCCTGCTGTGTCCCTTGTTGGAAATCTCTCTTTGTTTCCTCCACTGCCTTAACAAAACCATGTGTGCCTTTTTGAAGATACATTTCATTTTCTCCAGGAACATGCTGTCAAGCGGCCAGGAGCCTTCAGTAAAAGGAATATTTTGGTCACACAGTGTGTTGTTCAGGTGGCTAGGATGTAGTGTCCTTTTTTGCTGTTCATTGTGGCATGTTGGAGACAAAGTTCTTATGCAGAGATATTGATTTCTTTTCCTTTCAAAGTCATTATTAAAATTCTATCTATAATGTATTGTGGGCAGGAGAAGAGAGGTTGTGGCCAGCTCTTTGGGCAGTGCTCTTACTGTCACCAGTAGGATGCTTCTCTAGCTCAGCAACTTTGTAAATACCATATTTTTTTCCTTTCTTTCCTTTTTTGTTACAGCTTCAGAAAGCATCATCTCAGTTCCCACCATCATGGAGGATGATGACCAAGAGGTGGATTCTGCTGATGAATCAGTTTCCAATGATATGATTGCTGCTACAGATGAGCCTTCTAAGATGTCTTCTGCGACGGGACGGAGGATACGGCGGTTCAAGCAAGAGTGGCTTAAAAAGTTTTGGTTTCTGCGGTACTCCCCGACACTGAATGAGATGTGGTGCCATGTCTGTAGGCAGTACACAGTGCAATCTTCTCGGACTTCAGCCTTCATCATTGGCTCTAAGCAGTTCAAGATACACACAATAAAGCTTCACAGCCAGAGCAACCTCCACAAGAAGTGCCTGCAGCTTTACAAGCTCAGGATGCACCCAGAGAAGACAGAAGAGATGTGCCGAAATATGACCCTGCTCTTCAACACCGCCTACCACCTGGCCCTGGAGGGCAGGCCCTACTACGACTTTCGGCCTCTGGCAGAGCTACTGAGAAAGTGTGAACTCAAGGTGGTGGATCAGTACATGAATGAGGGAGACTGCCAGATCTTAATTCACCATATCGCCCGCGCTCTCCGAGAGGACCTTGTTGAGCGCATCCGGCAGTCTCCCTTCCTCAGCATCATTCTGGATGGGCAGAGCGACGACTTGCTTGCAGATACAGTTGCAGTCTATGTGCAGTACACCAGCAGTGATGGGCCTCCAGCAACTGAATTCCTGTCTCTTCAGGAGCTTGGCTTTTCTTCAACAGACAGTTACCTTCAAGCATTAGATCGGGCTTTTTCCAGCCTGGGAATACGATTGCAGGATGAGAAGCCAACTATTGGCTTGGGAGTTGATGGTGCTAACATTACCGCCAGCCTGAGAGCCAACTTGTTCATGACAATCAGAAAGACCTTGCCCTGGCTTCTCTGTCTTCCCTTTATGGTGCATAGGCCCCACTTGGAAATTTTGGATGCCATTAGTGGGAAGGAACTACCATGTCTGGAGGAGCTAGAAAACAATTTGAAGCAACTGCTCAGTTTCTATCGTTATTCTCCCCGACTCATGTGCGAGTTAAGGGTCACTGCTGCCACTCTGTGTGAGGAGACTGAGTTCCTGGGGGACATTCGAGCAGTGAAGTGGATCATTGGGGAGCAGAACGTGCTCAACGCTCTCATCAAGGATTACCTTGAGGTTGTGGCCCATCTCAAAGATGTCAGTGGCCAAACCCAAAGGGCAGATGCTTCTGCCATTGCCTTGGCCCTCCTGCAATTCCTGATGGACTACCAGTCGATTAAACTCATCTACTTCCTGCTGGATGTGATCGCTGTGCTTTCACGCCTTGCCTACGTCTTCCAAGGGGAGTACCTTCTTGTGTCACAGGTGGATGATAAAATAGAGGAGGCCATCCAGGAGATCAGCCGGCTAGCAGACTCCCCTGGGGAGTACTTGCAGGAGTTTGAGGAAAACTTCCGTGAAAGCTTTAATGGCATTGCTGTGAAAAATCTACGGGTGGCTGAAGCCAAATTCCAGTCGATCAGAGAAAAGATCTGCCAGAAGACCCAGGTGATCCTAGCCCAAAGGTTTGATTCCCGCAGCCGGACATTTGTGAAGGCCTGTCAGGTATTTGACCTTGCAGCTTGGCCCAGAAGCACTGATGAGCTCATGAGCTATGGGAAGGAGGATATGGTACAAATATTTGAACACCTGGAGACAGTCCCATCATTTTCCAGAGAGGTTTGCCGAGAAGGGATGGACACCCGAGGGAGTCTGCTGATGGAGTGGCGGGAACTGAAGGTGGATTATTATACCAAAAATGGTTTTAAAGACTTGCTCAGTCACATTTGTAAATACAAACAAAGATTTCCCCTCCTAAATAAAATAGTTCAGATCCTCAAAGTCCTTCCCACCTCTTCGGCCTGCTGTGAGAAGGGGCGCACCGCCCTGCAGAGAGTGCGCAAGAACAACCGCTCCCGGCTGACACTGGAGCAGCTCAGTGACCTGTTGACGATTGCTGTTAACGGGCCGCCCATTGCCAACTTCGATTGCAAAAGGGCTCTCGACAGCTGGTTCGAGGAGAAGTCAGGCAACAGTTACGCGCTCTCGGCCGAAATGCTGAGCAGGATGTCATCTCTTGACCAGAAGCCGATGTTGCAGAGCATGGACCACGGCTCTGAGTTTTACCCTGATATTTAGGAAGGAATGCCTCAGATCAGATAATTTTTTAATCTATACTCTAAACTTTGATATATTATATAAAATATATATATTATCTATATTAAGGAAAAACCCACACTGAAAATTTAAGACGATGTGCGTCTGATAGAAGCTAAGCAGAATTTTAAAGATTGAGACAATGTTTAGACATTTACTGGTGTCTCCAACCATGGCAGCTGCAATGTAGGTGGCAACATTTCATTCTTTTGAAGCATGTGCTGGGGCCATACTCTACATGTTCAAACCTAACAACCTATAAGCTAGACAACGGGTCTTTGTCAGCCTCATCCTCCCAGCGGTTTCCTTTGTATGTGTGTTGTCAGTTTGCTGGGTTGGTTTTTGTTTTGTTTTGTTTCATTTTGGGGTTGATTGTTTGTTTGTTTGTTTGTTTGTTTGTTTGTTTGTTTGTTTGTTTGTTTTCCCCTCAGTTTCAATCTCTGCCTCTCTTTCCATTGTTCTGCCCAGTTATTGAGCCATTTGAGCCTTTTGTTGGCAACCATCAGATTTCTAATTTCTGACAGAGCAACCCGTGTGTTTTGTTGCTCCCAGCTCCACCCAGTTCTCTTCAGTTGAGTGGAAGCTTTCTTCACTCAAAAAATTACTGACAGGAGAGGAGGGCTGGGGGCATTATTTTGAGTCTTTATTCTGATTTAGAAACAAATGCCTCCCCTAAACTGTGATGCCTCTTTCTCAGTTCTCCCTACCTTTGGGCTGTAGAGTAATACTTGGCTTTCAGCTCCTTTTATGATAACCATAGTACCAGTCTATCATACATATGTTATAACATGATGTCATGTGCAGACTATAAAATAGCAAAATAGAGAAGGCAGGGGGAAATTTTTGCATTTATATTTTTATATTGTATGAGATAAATATATATATATATATACAACTATTCATTCAAAACCAGGGCTGCTGTGGAAGCTAGACAGCCAATGAGTCGAGAGCCACCTCTGGGCGGAGATTCAAAGGCTTAAAAATTATATTCTAATTTACATTATTTATACCATGTCTTTATAATCCTAGATTGTTGTGGGGCTTTTGTTTTGTTTTGTTTTGTTTTGTTTGGAATGACTGAAAGAAAAACCTGCTGCATTTTGGTGGCAGGAGCTATCAATGCAAGATTATCTTGGATTATAATCATGTGTGATGTCCTACAAAGGTTCACTTACTCTCTTGTGACCAAGGTAACATGTTCCACAGCACAGCAGACTGATGACAGCAGGAAGAAGGCATGCTCTGCTTCTTCCTGCAAAATATTTCTTCCTTTCTTGAAGGAATGCAGAGTCCAGCTGAAATGTGAATTGGGGGACTTGCACCTTCCATCACAAAGAGATTGTTTTGTGGGCTTGGGGCTCTCCTTTGTTTTATTCTTTTAAAGTAAACAAGCTCCATCCACACAAAATCACTTCAGGTTAGAAAAGAGAAAAAAAAAAACACAAAAAAACCCCAACCAACCAAAAAAAACCACACAAACAAAAAAGGTGCAAAAACTCCACAGATGCTAGTGCCTTGCCCTGCTGATGTGGCATGGACAGCACCAACCTGACCAGACCATCGTGGGAGTGAGACGTGTTATCCAAAAGGTGTCCAAGCCAACATGTTCTCACTTCCCAGAGGGATGAGCTTTGTGCCAAGCTGTGTTGTTTGGAAACATGATGGTGGTATCAGCAACACTGAACCTTTCCTTTCTCCTGTTACCCCCCTGCCCTTGGTCTTGGTGCTAAGATATCTCTAGAACCGTTGCTGCTAGTTAATAGCTTTTCATTTATATAAATATATATATATATATATATATAATATTATTTTATTTTTTAAACTTTTTTGTTTGTTTTCAATGGAGATGTAGCATGTTTGGAACTGATCTCTCTCTGAGTCACTTTCACTGCCAGGGTTCACGCACTGTCTTCCCCAGGAAAACACACACTTCTACCTAGGTCTCACTCACCTCCTGCTAACCCCTTTGCCTTCAGCAGAACTTCACAGCCAGCACTGGCAGAGGTGTGCAGCCAAGCCACTATGGACTGGTTCGACTTTCAGACCACACAGGAACAGCTAGGCTGGTGTTGGTCAGGGTTTTGGAAGTGTTTGCCTCTGTCCTTGTGGGACTGAGGAGGGACTGAGCCCACCCAAAACATGAGTGGTGGCCTGTCCTTGTGTCCTGACACTGCCCCTTTGCTGTAAAACAGGGCCTTTCAGTCAGATGGTCCAAGTGGAGCAGAGTGGACCCTGTGAATGTAGCAGTGAGGGCTGGTCAGCACCCTCTGTAGCACTTACCCCTTGCCTTACCTCTGACAGCACATGCAGCCTGAGGCTGGCTCGGGCAGGAGAGGGCAGCTGTGCCAGGGCCACTCAGCTGCTGCCAAACTGGCACCAGGGGTGCAGGCACTGGGTGCTCTTCCTTGTGGTCCTCATGGAAATGGCACAAGCTAGGTCAGGGCATCCCACAGTTGCAACACAGGGGCACTGATATGACACACCTAGGAAGCATGAAAAATGGCTTTGTTTTCATGTTTTCCTATATTTTCTTAGGAATTTTATGATCAAGTTGATCCATTCATCCAGAGCAGTGAAAATTAAACTGGAAACCCCCTGCTAGCTGTACAGCCTTGGATGGTTGTTTGCCTGACCATAAAGTAGGGATCTCTCCACACAAGGGGCTCATAGCTCTCCAGTCACGGTTTGAATTGTCTCTGCTCAGGGTGCTGCTGCGAAGCTCTGGAGCTGCTGCCTGCCTGGGAGGTGGCAGGCTCCCTTCCTTTTTAAACTTGAGGAGATGTAAAAAGATAAAAAAAGATAGAAAATCTGCTGTTCCTTTAGTTTCTGACTGGAGATGGGCAAGGTGAACATGGGTCACAGAATCCATAGAACTCCATAGCTCTTTGTGGGTAGAGAGGAAAAATCACCTGCCTTTCTGTTTGCAGCAGCAAAAGCTCCTTGGCATAGAGGCCCATCAAAGTGCCTGGCCCACATGGAGGGAAGGAACATTTGGGGACAGTCTCCAGACACCTTTGGAGAGAGGAATGCTCCCCCAGGACTTGTGTTGAGCAGCCCAAGAGGCCTGTTTACAACTCTCGATCCAAGCCTCCTAACTTTTGTCTACCAGGGAGGAAATGGCAAGGTGAGAGTTGCCAGTGGCCTGGTCAGAAATTATTCTTCCAATTTGTCACTCCTTCCCTTTGGTTCACTTGCAAATCCTGCTTTCATCTGTGACACCTTTCACTGGCAGCTTTTATTTCTAATGGTGCAGTGAAATGTGCAGCATGTGGTGATATTCTCTGGCAGCCAGCTGACACAGGCAGAGCACTTGTTCCTTTAGCAAATAACTGCTTGCAAACAGTGATTCCCTGCCACTGGATGTTGTGATTACCCATGATAGGAAAGGTCAGAGACCCTTTACCTTGGTAATGAGGATAGACAAGAGCTTGGTAGAGCAGCTGGCCCAACCCAGCCCAGCCCAGCCCAGCCCATACCAGCTCCTCCAACACAATTCCCTGTTACCCACACATCAGAAAATAAACCTGGCCTTTGTCCTAGGGTAATGCAGGTGCTTTGCAAGCTTTCTCTCCAGGTCAACCTGCCAATCTCAGATCTGTAGCTCTTACTTTCATGGATAGTCTGTGGATGGAAACATGACTACCAGCATCGACAAGATAGGGAGGAGGGCAGAATATCAATGCAACGAACCCCTGGCTTCCCAGGGCTCCCAAGCCTTTCCCAGGTGCAACTCTGTGCCTGTATGTCTGGGCCCAGCCTGGTGGCAGTGAGGCCAGGAGGCAGCAGCAGGCATGGGGAGGGCTTAGCAGGGTGCTGAGGGAGGCCTCTGTGGCTCCAAGTTTGCCATGCCTCGAGCTTAATCAAGGCCTTTCCTGCTGTGCTGAGAGAGCGAGAGGAGCTGTTTTGAATGTGTTGCTCACAGTGTCTTGAACTGGTTAGGCTACAAAGACAGAGGATTCAGTTTTTCTTGAATGAGCTCTTTTTTGTCTCCCTGCATCTTAGCTATGGCATCTGACTGTGAATAATGCACACTTCTCCAAACCCTCGGGTTTGTATTTCTAGCCTGTGGGATTTTTGGTTGCCAATTTCCCTTCCCCACTTTTTGCTCAGGCTCCTTGCCTCTTTTACCCTGCTGTGAAGCAGAAATCTGTGAAGCACATTTAGACATGTCCTTCTGCAGGACTCACCTTGTGTCCACAGGGATCCAGGCCCTCCAGCCACGAGACCGACCTCAGCAGGGATAATCCTCACAGGAAACCAAAGCTCTTCCCATGCCAGCAAAAGCACACGGAAGTTACGGGGGCTGTGAGGGGACACAGTGGGCAGGGTCCTCGTGTGGTGTCTGCCTTGGGTCTTGAGCCAACTGCACCCATGCCCCCCGTACTTGTGATGCTCTTGCTGGTATGATTGTTCAGACATGATTCAGGCTCGGTCCATCTCTTTCTCACAGCACAAACTCAACCAGGTGGCCCACGGGGTCTTTGGAGTTCCCCTCCTTTCTTATCTCATGAGGATTGCTGTTTGTTTGACCAGTGCCTAGACAGCTGGCTTGCAAATAAGCAGCAACAGCCTCTGCTTTTGCAGATTCCCCTTTCACCCCTGTTAAAAGAGGTCTTAAAAGCAGAGAAATGGTACGTTAATCCCCCAGCCATTGTATCCAATGCAGTAATGCCTATGCAATTCCTGTCTCCCTTGGAGACACATATGATGTGTGTGCATGTAAGCTAGTGTATGTATACAGTACATATGCATATGGTCTATATATTGTATATACGCACATCCCAGTACATATACACACAGTACAAAAGATTAAAATCACATGCTTATATATCTATAAATGAAATCCTATATATTTATATATTTCTATGTTTTCAATAGATATAAAAATATAATATAGAGATAGACTCAACCACCCTTGTGTAAGGCTGGCCCTGTGTTCTAGCACAAGGCATGTAACACTGAAGACTTTGGACTTTGGGATG